TGAATCAGTGTAAAGGAGTAACAGATTGGGGGGGGGGGTTGTTAGGGGAGGACGTGAGGGAGAAAGGAACTGGGATTATCATGTAAAACAATCCTGTTTCTAATTCAAATTTTTTTAAAAAAAGAGTAACAGATCACACACCTTTAATCCCAGCACTAGAGGGGTATAAATGATAGGAGCAAGGTCTTCAGTATTGACTAGGAGGCATTCATTCTCCATCCACGCTGAGGAGCAGCAACAGCCTGAGGCTTGGTGAGAGCTCCTGGAGATGGAATCAGCCCTTTCAGCCTGAGGTAGAAGTAAGAAGCTAATGGCCAGCTGCTTTGCTTTTCTGATCATCAGCTTAAAGTTGAATTCCAATATCAGTCTGTGGGCCATTTCTTAATTCGTGTTACATTAATCTTTCCAAAAAGGCCTTCTGTTAACAAAAAGTCCCCAGACATCTGATAGCTTTGACTTGTGGACTTCCTGGATACATGAATGTACCCATTCACCAGGGATGCCATAATAATGAACCACTAACTGGGTGGCTTACCCACGAGTCTGGAAGATAGAAGCCCCAAATCAGGGTTTTGGCACAGTAGCTTTCTCTTGAGGACTGTGAGGAAGAACTATTATGTTCCAGGCTTTTCTCCTTGGCTTACAGACATCTAACAGGCAGAACCTCTGTCTTTCCCCTGTCTCTTTATATGAAGATGTCAATTACATAAGCTCAAGACACGCCTAATGTCTTCATTTTAACTTGACTGACCTCTATAAAGGCCCTGTCTCCAAACAAGGCCAAATTCTAAGGTATTTGGGGGTTAGGAACCTCAGCGGTGAATTTCTTAGGTAGAAAAGTTCAACAGTGCATCTCTCTGAAGCAAGGTTAACTATGGCTCCATAGCATCTGGAATATTGGAGCTCCAAGTCAAACTGAGGTTTAAGTTGTGAATTAGACACCTCTCCTCTCTGCACTTTATTTCTTGTCTAGAGTAAGAGATGTGGACTGGGTTTCCACCACCTCTGCCCCTGAGTTCTAGGACTGTGTTCTAGGCAGCATGGGGGCATTATAGGAGGGGAGAGGGTAACAGTTTGGTGCCCACACATTCAAGCAGCATTACCCTGAACTGGCTGGGTTTGTTCCAGTTTTGACAAGTTTCTCTGTGCAGCCCTGACTGGCTTGGAACTCTATCTAAAACTGACTAGCTTCAAAGCTGTGGCCTGTGCCTCCAGAGTTCTGGGACTACAGCTGTGTGAGACCACACCCTGCACTGTCTTCTGAGCTTTGCTTTTTTTTTAACTGTAGGAGAGAGATAATAATATTAGCTGCTATTTTTTAAAAAGGATGTGGGGATTAAGGACGAGTTGCTCAGCACATAGTTGTCAGTTCCTCCACACAAACCACTAATGGCATTAATATCATGTGCAGGAGTCATCTGTACATTGAGTCTCAGGTCTCAGTGGTATCCACTGCAAACCAGCAAGACACCTTGGCCCCCAGCCCCCATCAGGACCTTGTGCTACACTTCAGACTGAGACGATTGAGCTGGCAAGACTTTGGTGATCCTTGTGCCATTCTTCCCCCCTCCTTCCCCACCTCATGTCCTGTTCTGCTTCACTCCTTATTAAAGTCTTTAGAGAAAGGGCTGGAGCATCAGATGTATTTTTTTCTCACTGTATTTTATGATTTTACATAAAATTTATGGCTTTATATAAAAAATCTAATAATAAAACTGATAGAACTATCTCACTTGGCAGAGCTTTATCAAGAAGCTATGGAGATTCGGCTTCTCCTGGGGATACAGACTGGTGTCTACAGCTATCATTTGATGCTGTTACTTTAGCATCTGGCATCATCTGGAGCATAATCAACCTGAGGAAACAGATTTTCTTATTTAAACTGACTCTCCTAATGTGCCAGCCCCTCTTCCATAAAGTAACCCATACTATCCTCCCCACACCTTCAGGAGACAGAAGACAGGGCCTCCCATGCCAAAGGCCCCCAGAGGCTCAGAGATCCCATGGGCAGCCAGTGCCCTGGCCTGGATTCACATGTACACCTTTGACTCCAAGGCCACCCACCAAATTTGATATTTGACACTCTCCTTACCACTCCCTACCAACTCAAGAGGCCTTAGGCTAGGCTCTTCATTGTGCAGTTTTCTGTGGCCTTGGTGCCCCCTAGTGTTGAATTAAGGCTCATTGCACCGAAGGCCTGTGACTAAGCACTTAAGTGATCCAAAGGCCAATGTGGGTGGCCCTGGGATAGCACATCTCTCTGCTCCCAGAGGACAGCTATTACCCCCCCCCACACACACATTAAAGATTGTTCTTTCTTTTTTTGACAGGGTCTTTCTTTGTAGCTCAGACTGTCTTCAGGGCTACTTACTATACAGTCCAGGTAGGCCTCAAATTTGAAAAAATCCAGTGTGCTTTACATTGGATGCCAGCATGGCCCAGCAACACTGTAGTTAACAAGTCTGGCCCTCAGGAAGACCCTGCAGGGGTAAGAGCAGGGGAAACAGCACCAAGATAGTATGTAATGTTGCGGTTCTGACCCGGTATGTTTTCCCCACTCTCAGCTGGAATATGTGGGCTTTGGCCGTATTCTCTGCTGTACACACTAGGGACTTTCATTTCTCATGGCTTGTTTTGGTGGGAGGGGAGACATCAAAGAAATTAAAGTTAAGCACTTAACATCATCTAGAATCTCCTCTAAAAAGGAGATCATGAGGATGGGGGAATAGGCTTGAAGGCAGGGTGATAGACATGTGATGTAAGACAGGACATGGGAACTTTGAGGGTAGAATGGTACAGAAAGTCAGCAGGGAGATGGGGTGGGTGTGGGGGAGTTGAGAAGGAAGCTCAACCATAACAAAGTGTTGTAACAATTCCTCAAGGAAACCTGTTGCTCTGTGTGCAAACAAAGACATTAAAAATAAAAAGTCACCAGGAGTAAAAGTCACCACACCTTTAATCCTAGTACTCTGGAGGAAGAGGCAGGCTGGTCTCTGAGTTTGAGGCCAGCCTGGTCTATAAAGTGAGTTCCAGGACAGCCAGGGCTGTTACACAGAGAAACCCTGGGGCAGGGTGGGGATAAGGTGGGAGGGTGTCTCCCCAGGAAGTGATTAGCCAGCTTTTGTTTCTCTGTGAGCCCTGGGTGCAAGGATGGAGAAGGCATTCTTTCCATTTCTGTAGAGTAAATACATGTCAAACCTCAACCCATTGAGGACAGTGATCTGATAGGGGTGTTTAGGATTTTTCCCATCATTCTAGAAATGGCTTCCAGAATTCAAAACTGAGAACAGAGTCACAAAGTACCCTGAATGCTAAAGAAGGTAGAAAGCAATCCACAGTCTCACTTCTACAGCTTTCCTGCCCCTCCCCCCATCCACCTGTGCAGGGCAAAAGGGATGCAAGACAGAAAAAGAGACAACAGCCTATCCCCTGTCACTTCCCACATACCAAATACCCTCCTCTTCCCCTTCTTCTCCCCCCCCCCCCCCCCCCCCCCCCCCCCCCCCCCCCCCCCCGGCTTGATCTGTATGTAGTAGCCTTTCTGAATATCCTTTAGTCACTTATCTGTCTTTGAGACCATCTGAGACACCCTGGAGAAATACCAATGCTGGAGCCAGTGTTCACCCTGATTGCTTCAAATGTGGTCAGGTGTGTAGCTCTAACAAATTCTAGTTTCTTGCAACTATTGCAAGCAAAGTAAATGAATACTTACTGTCATGAAAAGGTATTTATAATAAATGCTGTGAAGAAGCTCAGGTACAGAATTCAGAATTGTATATACAGTATGTATGTCGATTTGGTTTTTTAAAAAAGCATTAGAAATAATACATTTGCAAAGATGGCCACATGGAAAAGATATTTTCCAAAATATCCTTACGGAACTGCCATCTCTGCAGTTAGGTAGGGCAGTGGGTGGTTTATTCTGAAGTTTTTAAACCAGGCATGCTAGTGTAATCCCAGAACCTGAGAAGTGAAGGTAGAGTGACCAATAGTTCAAGGCCAGCCTCAGATACCTTGCAAATTTGAGGGCAGTGAGGGCTATATGAGATGTTGTCTCCAAAACAACAAAAAGGATGTAAGACCCCCCCCCCCCCGAAAAGCTCAGGCTTCCAGGATCTTAGCCCAGGACCTCAGCCACCCCAATCACAGGATGGAGGTGAAAGCTTGATGCAAACTCCATGAGGCTTCCTCTGGGTACAGATCTTTATAGGGCAGCGTAAGGGGAGCTTCTAGGGTTATGCACAGGCTCAGGATTGGTGTGCCTCCAGGCTTGGAGGGTTTGCCCTGTGTTGATTGGTCAACTGGTTGTTATGGCCCATAGTCCCTCCCAGGTGGTTGCTATGCTTTGTGGGTCATTGCTGTGCGCTTGTCTGTAAAGCACACCCAGAGCCATAAAGCATAACGCCACCAGCTAACTTCTGATTGGTTCCTTGTCAGAGGCAGGGATCTGACCTCTAAGTGACCAAGGCAAGGTTATGGCAAGCACGTGTTTGGCTGTTATGGCTGCCGAAATGGGGAGCTGGCCCCTTCAGGAAATACAAATTTTAAAAATCAAAGTAATTTTGAAGTAATAATACTTGGTCTTCATTATCACCCAAAACTGAAACCTATTTTCTTCTGCTAAATTGTTCTATGCCCTAGCAATTAGAAGTATCAACGCTAAGTGTGGTGGAACACGGCAGTAAATAGCAGGACCAAGAATTCGAGAAGCTACCCATGTCTTGACATGTTAAGATTCTGATACTTTCCCAGCATCCACTTTGGGAATTCAACCTGTGCCATCTCTTCCCTGTAGTGCTGCATGTGCACCCCTTCCCAATGGTCCTTTGTCTTCTTGGTGATTGCCTGATTGTCCAGATGAGGCCCTGCCAAACCTGTCGGGTTTCTTTAAAACTTTAAAAAAAAAAAAAAAAAAAAAAAAAAAAAAAAAAAAAAAAAGGTCCAGCTCTGGCTAGGGGGGAGTCGTTTGAACCGAAATCCAAAGGTTAAAAATCACTAAGACCAAGTGCTAGGGCAGGAACAGAGGCCCTGGGTCCCGACTGCAGACCTCGCTGGCAAGCTGAACACCAGCCACCAAGCAGGTCACGTCGCAGCAGTTTTGACTTTCCTTAAAGGGCGCGGACGCAGCGCCGCGATGAATTTGGTCCCTCTGGAGACGCCGTCCGGGCACCAGGCTCGCTCAAATCACGTGACCCAGGCTTTTGGCGAAGCAGGAAGCGTTTTGCTGCGGGATCCCGGAGTGGGGCGGATAGCGGGAGGGATGGAATCGACTTTGGAGCAGCATTTGGAGGACACGTGAGTAGTGCGTGCGGCCGGTCCTGCGCTTCGGACGGAGGACTGCGAGTGTCCGCGGAAGCGTTTGGGGCACTCGGGTTGGCGAACGGGTGACGTCTGCAGACACCCGGGCCGCGCGTGACTCCAAATAAAGTTTCGCCAGACTCTGCGCTTCCTTATGGAGCAAGAGTCTTGCGGGCCCAAGCCAGAGAGGCCCAAATCACCTGTCGCCTTGAAATCGTCCGTAGGGTCGGAGTAGCTCTTCAGAAGTTTGGGAAACCGATTAAGTTGGGGAAAGGATGTAGCAAATTGAGCCCTGCAGTGCGAACCCACAAGCATACCTCCCCGCGTGCGTAACCCACCAATTACTCAGTAAAGACATCCCTTAAGTTTTTCCACTATCTGTGTAATATGTGAAGTTGGGAAGTGTAAAGTGGCTTACAAGAAGACACCTCCCCTTTAGCTTCTTAATCTCCTCCAGGAGCAATTCCTGTTACTTAAGATCTTTAACAGTTGTTTTAATTGAGTTGCTATCCTAGAACATGTTTCTATACCAAGGACAAAACCCTATAGATAACTGCAATGTTTGTGGCCCTATGAAGCCCAGAGGTGCCTGGCACACTCCGTTGTGAGATAATGGTTTCTTTATTTAAACAACTCGTGGCTTTTCCTTTGGAAGGGGGCTGTAGTTTTTAAAAAGGCTGATTTGAAGCGCTTAATACTTGATGTAAAGAAAATTTATTTGTAGTACAATAATTCAAGTATTTCTTCACATCATCTTCACATTATTTTTCTTGTGCTCCTAAAATTAGAATGAAGAATCCATCCATTGTTGGAGTCCTGTGCACAGATTCACAAGGACTTAATCTGGGCTGTAAGTGTCTCATACCAGTCTCCCATTGAGGTTCACTGGAAGTTTTACTTTGCTAGTATTTTCTAGCTTTTATTCCTGTTACCTTTTGAGCATAGAGAATATCTCCAAGTAAGACTAGATAATTGAAGCCTTTCAATTGTTTTTTGTTTGTTTGTTTGTTTTTGTTTTGAGACAGGGTTTCTCTGTGGCTTTGGAGCCTGTCCTGGAACTAACTCTTGTAGACCAGGCTGGTCTCGAACTCACAGAGATCCTCTGCCTCTGCCTCCCGAGTGCTCCACCAACGCCTGGCCTCAATTGTTTTTAAAAGGCAGAAATGTTCTATCAGTTCTACAGTTGTCCCTACTAAAATGGTGTTGAGTAATTTTCAAGTGGTCTAGAAAAGGACTTTAGATAAAAACAGGCTTTACTGAATACTTTCCATATGCAGGGACATCGGGCCATATTATTTCCATAATTTCTTCAATAACTCTGAAAATGGATGGGACTAGCTGTTAGTACAGCCACTCCTAGTGTCAGTAAAATAGGGACTTCACAGTTAGTCACATTTGCCTTTAAACCTATTCTCCTGGTCTGTCTGCTAGCGATATGAGCCCAGAACAGAAAGAGCCCCTTAGGGCTTCATTTTCTTCCTTGGATTATTTGATGATGCTAATGAATGAAGCCTTACATGTGTTGGGCTTTTAAGTATCAGACACCATTCTTTTTTTCTTACTCTACACTACAGAACCCTGGCTTTGGTGGAACTCAATATGTAAACCAGGCTGGCCTGTAACTCAGAGATTCTCCTGCCCCGAGTGATAGGAATAAAGGTGTGTATCAGCATACCTGGCTAGACACCTTTTTTAGTGTTTTACATTGTCCAAACTTAAATACTCCTCAGAAAAGCCCTTTGTGGTAGAGAAACTAAAACATAGAGCCTAAGTACCTTACCCAAGGTCTTACAACTAATGAATAGTTGAGATAGGATTTCCTGGCTGCCTCCAAAGCTTAAAACACACAGTACAGAACCAAGATGTGATTTTCAATAAACTGTAGCAATTACAGATGAGAAACTAAGTCCAGAAAGGTAAATAGCACTGGATGGTGGTAGCTCACACCTTAAATCCCAGATTTCAGAAGCAGGAGAATCTCTTGTGAGTTCAAGAACAGCCTGATCTACAAAGCAAGTTCCTACATAGAGAAACCCTGTCTCAAAAAAAAAAAAAAAAAAAAGAAAGAAAGAAAGAAAAATAAAAGATAAATAGCTGAAGTTAATTAATGTCAGAAACTAGTAAACCTAGGAATTATTATAAGTAATGTAGGACCTTTTTAGAGCTCGGAACTTTTGCTGGTTTGGTAACTGACAGAGGTAAAAGACAGAGGTTATGTCTTGTACAAAAACCAGTCATTTGGAACAAAAGTAAAAATTTTTGAAGCATTTGCCAGGTCACCTTCAAAGTCTGAAGTTAACTATTTGCTTTATACCTTCTGGCTGTACTTTGACCTGTGCATTTTTTAAAATGTAGTAATAGTGAATCCAGAATTTCTGCCAGGATGGTGTATTGTCTACTATCTTAGTTTCAGATGTAAGCAAGCTTCTGTTGCCTTTATTTCAGGGATCTGTTGTAAGCTTGGTGGTTACCTTTTGTACCTAGGACCTGATTTAGTATTAACACAAATCAAAGCAATAGTAAAGAATCCTTGAGACATTTGAAAGTAGCCCAGCTAGCTCATGCTGGCAGGAATAATTGCTTACAGATCTTCACATATGCTGGCCAGGTGATCTTACAACTGAACTTTCTGAGTAACGACTTGTTCTTTGAGATTGAATTTAGAAAAAGAAAATTAGATTTCCCATAAGGAATTAATTAATGTGAACAAGTCCTTATCCACATTGAATCACTCATACCTTTGGATATCTCGATTTCAGCAAGATTCCTATAAAATAAATTTATTATCATCAGATTGATTTGAAATACAGCTTCCTTATATGCTTGAGAAGGTGTTTAGAGATAGTATGATGATAGGAATAACTTTGAAAACAGCATGCCATTGATGACTTTACTGATTTAAGAACAATTGCCAGACTTCCTCACTGAGTACCAGGTGGGGAAGTCATTCCCTGTCAGTACCTAACCAAAGGCCATGAGCCGAGTTTCTTTTTCCTGAATAATTCACTAGAAGACACTACACTGTAGGTTTGTATTCATTTTAGAAACCTAGGTAGCAATCTCATCTCTTCTCTAGGTCGTGGTACCCTGTCAGATGAGCATGCTGGAGTGATATCTGTTCTAGCCCAGCAAGCAGCTAAGCTAACCTCTGACCCCACTGATATTCCTGTGGTCTGTTTAGAATCAGATAATGGGTGAGTACATATCAGCACATCCCTTTGTTTTTGTCAGAAAAACTTGATTGGGCTTTCCCCTGTGTCCTTCAGTAGTTCCATAGTCAGTGTACCACAGGGCCAGCGGGCATTGAGGCCCCATGACAGGCCTTCATTAAAATGAGCAATAAGAACTGTCATGAACTGCCAGTTTGCCAATAAAAAGGAAAAACACAAAAAATAGTTGAATTGAATTCTCTAAAATAATATAATGTTAAAAATATTCCAAGATAAATGTCTTTATGAAAAAAAGTTAAGAATGCAAAACTATGGGGGCTGGGGAGATGACAGTGTTTAAGATGAGTGCTTGATCCATAGTCCTCAGGATTAGAGTTTAGATTTTATCGCCCCAGCACCCACATAGCTGGGCATCCCCACAAATACTTGTAACCTTAGCTCCAAGTTGGAAGGCAGGCAGACACAGGAGGATTGATGGGGCTTGCTAACTTCCAGTCTAGCAGAGAAAAGGAGTCCCAGGTTCAAGGATAAGATCCTTTGACAAAGTAATAGGTGCACAGTGATAGAAGACACTCCACACACCTTCTTTTGATCTCCATGCATGTACATAGGTGTGTGAACCTGTACACACTTGTATGTGCACACTCACACAGACACAGATAAAATTAACCTTAACAAATGCATACTGTGATCAGTTTGGGGAATAACTAAGAAGAGAATATTAAGATGAACACACACACACACACACACACACACACACATATCCAGGTTGTAAACAAGCCTGATGACCTGAGCTCACTCCCTGGTTGAAGGAGAACAAACTCCCTGAAGTTATCCTCTGACCTCCACATATAAGCAGCACAAATACACACACTAAAAAATAAGTAACATAATAGTAATAAAAATTGGTTGGGGAGGTGGCTCAATGGTTAAGAGCATATACTGCTCTTCCAGAGGACCTACAGTAGTTTCCACCACCCACATTCAGCAGCTCGAAACCACTTGTAACTATGACTCCAGAGGACCCAACACCCTCTGGCCTTCTCGTGTACCCATGCACAGACACACACACACATAAATAAAAAATTTACACCCATGCACAGATATACACATAAATAAAAAAAATTAATCTAAAAATTAAGACCAGGAGGCTAGGCTAGTGATAGCATGTGCAAGGCCCTGGATTTTAACCCCAGCAATGCCAACAAAAACCTCCAGAAAAAATCAGAGCCATGCTGAGTAAGAATTAGTTTCATTTGTATGTTATAATTAGACACCCATAATTCTCAACTGTTTCATGCTTGTATATGCTTTTTATTTATTTACTTAGTTTTCTTACAGGAAGATTTGTTTCATGGTTTGAGAATGTAGCCCCCTTTATGGATGGGAAAAGCATGGCAGAAGTTATGGAAGTAGGGGTTTGTGGCTGGCACTCCTCAACAGTGACTGTTCACATTTTCTTTTAGAGATATATATGCTATTGTTTTGTATCTTAAACTGAACAGCTTTAATCTTACACTTAAGAGTTTGCTGAATATTTTCCTCTTTGCTTTTCAGGAACATTATGATCCAGAAACACGATGGCATCACAGTGGCAGTGCACAAAATGGCCTCTTGACATCTCATGCCTGTTCTTCAGCAGCCTGTCATAGGGATTCAGTCCTTCCTGTGTCAGTTAACTTGTAAAACTATTAAAGTTCCAGAGGCTAGGCCATTCACCTAGTGTCCAATGTGGACTTCCTTATTTATATGACAACCAGTTACCAAGGTATTAGTTAAAAAGGATCATAGTTGTTTTGTTTGGGCTTTGGTCATTTTGTTCTTTGGAGACCATCACTGCAGTCCAGTATTCCAGCTTATCATTGCCTGGAACTGTGTATGTAGCCCAGGCTGACCTCAAACCTGTGGTCTTCCTGCTTCAAACTCCTGCATCCTGGGATTATAGGAATTTGTCACCAACGTCCCGGTCACTTTGTATATAGAACTTTGTTGTTGTCAATAAATCCATTCAGAGGAAAGTTTGCCTCTTTTTTGGTTCTTTAAGCTCTTACTTAATGCTCATTTTTCTTTTTTCAGTTAATTGAATTATGATTTTTTTCCCCAAAAGATCTTTATCCTAAACTACTTGCTTCTCTTTGAAAAGTTCCTTGAAATGTCTGTGTTCTTATACAAGAATGCATGAACCAAACATTTCCCTTAACCTAAGTGACATAGATAATATAAGTCTTTAATGAGATAAGAAACTATTTCTTATAGTAGGTACTCTTAGTTGCCTTCTTTCTTTTTTGCTTTTAGTCATCTTTTAGGGTACACAATAATGGGTTTCTGATAGCACTGCCCTACGTGTAATTTGCCCTGTTTTATGTTTGTGTAACTAAAGCTGAGGGATTTGCATTGTCACCATCTAAACTCTCAAGGCCTACATTTTTGTGGGGGGGGAGGGGGGTGTTCAAGACAGGGTTTCTCTCTGTAGCCCTGGCTGTTCTGGAATTCACTCTAGACCAGGTTGGCCTCGAACTTAGAGATCTTCTGCCAAGTGCTAGGGATTAAAGGCATGTACCACCAGGCTGAGGGCCTACATTTTTAATACTGCCCAGATCATCATCAGTTGGGAAAAAAAAAAAAAATTACCATTTGAGAGTAAAGGTTAATCCTCAACTTTGAGTGGTTCTCAACAGAGTACTGCACAAGCAAGCACAAAAAACTTTTCTGTTTGTGTATATGTGTATGTATTATGTTACTTTATGTATGTGTGAGTTCAGATTTGTATGTGCATGTTGAGATCAGAGGACAATATTTGGGAGTTTATTCTCCCTTCTGTGGGATCTCAGGATCCAAGCTGTCAAGCTTTTACAGCAAACACTTACCCACAGAGACAGCCCTAGTTTGTTTATTGTTTAAATAGTTCCTACTGCTCTTTGGCAATTTAGTATTTCCCAGTATGAAAAAAAAAAAA